GGTGCTGTTAAAGAAAAGCTCCTTTTTTTTAAAAAAAGAAAAAAAGTTCTCCCCCTCCCTGTGGTCTGTTTCAAATACCCTGCCGGTGAAGGACATGGGTGTGTGCAGGGTTCAAATGCTTGTGGAATGCGTTTAAAGATTTTAAATCTTAATCCCTTTAACAAGGATAGGTTATCCTCCTGACAATGGCAGAGTATTTCCTAGTCGTGCCCTTCTAGTCATGATGGACAGATTTGCAGCCAGGAAAGAAAGACTTATGTTCTCTTCATCCTTACATAAACATATTTTTTTTAAAAATTCAGAATAGCAGCCCTGACTTTCTTGGAGCGCAAACAGTAAACAGTGCAGGATTGGCTTCCGTTCTAAGTACGAAATAGCCGCTTGTGTTTATTGGGAAAAAACGTTGCACCCAAGAACGCTTGGAAGAGGTTAAGGTCAGGACTTTCCTTTTAAAAAAAAATCAATTGGGGAGGGGGAGCAGTGCATTTGTGGGGTCCTAACATGGCCCAACGGGGACTGCCCAGCGCGTTGAAGCCTTCCTGGCAAATCTGCGCCGGGCTGGGCTGGGCTGGGGGCATCTCTGGCGGCTTTGCCTCTTCTAACACTTCTGAATTCCTCCGAGCTTTGCCGGCCTCCGTCAGGTCTCCCCGCTAGGAGGAAGCCCCTCCGGACCACCCAGTTAATTCTTATATTCAATGGCCTTGGTTCATCGCTCCGCCTTTTGCACAAACAATGCCCCCCAAATGCCAATTCCTTGTTTTTAAAGAAAGTTTTGGTGGCACGACCGCTTCAAAGAGGGAATTTGGCTTGGTGGGGGACCGGAGTCCCTTTCGGTCCTGGGAAAGGATTGGGAGGTCTGCTTGCCCGCCACCCACCCAGGCTCAGCCTGTTTTCCTTTTGACCCCCCCACCCCACCCCCCTGCCCCCACCAGGCCTTCCTGGAGAGGCTGAGAGGGCAGGGAAACAAGCCCCCACCACCACCTCCAGCTTTGAAAGCCCTGGACGCTGGTGGCCACTTCCTCCTGGCTACAGAGGATGGCCCAGGGGGGGTCCACACCTTTATGCCCAGGGAGGGGGGGGGCTTCTGACTCTGGACTTTGGGACAAGAGGAAGTCCCCCCCCACACACAAAAAGGATCCTGGGAAAAGAGGTTTTCTGTCCTTGGGGTGCAGCTGCCGGCGGGGCTGTGGGGCTCCTTGCAAACGACCCAGAGCCCTGCGGTGGAGTCTGGGGGAAGGGAAGGGCCTGGGGGCTTCGGGCTTCTCTCCGTAGGGCTGCTCTCAGGGCAGGTCCCCCCCCCCCAGGAGGTCGCCCTTCTCTTCCCCTGTTTCAGGCCCTCTCGGTTCTCCCCGGAGTCGGCTCTGAGGCTTTGGCAGGGTCTCCGGGGGAGAAGGCGCCCAGCCATGCTGAGGTTTCGCTGTCCTTCCGTTGCTCTTTGCTCCAATTAGGCCCACATTGCGGCAGCTGGAAGGATCTCCCCGGTCTTTGGCAGAAAGAGCCAACATGGCTCCCAGGCAGCCGGCCACAGCCACCCCCGCCTTCCCTAGAGGGCCGCCTTGACCTCATCCAGCCTTCTCCATCCAATGGCCAGGCTGCCTTTTGCAGGCCTTCTGGAGGAGGCCGGCGTATCCCACCCACCCCCCCCCACGGCCAAAAATGCAGGTGGTCCAAGGATCAGCACAGCAGGGAGGGATCCAGTTGATTCTTGAGAACTGAGTGGCCGGCCCTGGGGGGGGAGGGACGGGGACGGGGACGGGCTGAAAAAAAATGAAAGCTGTGACCAGGGAAGTTGTGTGTGTTGGGGGCTGGGGATGGGGGGGGGGCTCGCTAACTTCTGCTCCCGTCAGCCCCGAATGGGCCGGGATTGAAGTCCAATCGCAAATAGCGGGCAGTCAGAATTGGGGCAAGTTACTTCCCTGCAAAGAGGAGCGAGGCATAGGGGGGCCCCCAGCGGGGGGGGGCTTCTGGTGCTGCTTCCTCATCCAATGCAAAGCCCACCCACCCCCCACCAAGCTCTGCACCCCTTCCCCCCACACATGCTGTCCCAACTGAAAAAAATATTTGGTCCCCGTGTCGTCCAGCACTTTTGCCTCAAACTGCCCTGCGCCGCCCACTCTGCCCCTTTTCTCGAGAAATACATTTATTAGAGGGGTCCTGATCTCTCTCTCTCTCTTTCTTTCTTTCTTTCTTTCTTTCTTTCTTTCTTTCTTTCTTTCTTCCTTCCTTCCTTCCTTCCTTCCTTCCTTCCTTCCTTCCTTCCTTCCTTCCTTTCTTTCTTTCTTCCTCTCCCTCCCTCCCTCTCTCTCTCCCTCCCTCTTCCTCTCTCTTCCTCTCTCTCTCCCTCTCCATCTCCCTCCCTCTCTCTCCCCCTCCCTCCCTCTCTCCCTCTTCCTTTCTCTCTCTCCCTCTGTCTCTCTCCCTCCCCATCTCAGGCTCCCTCTCCCTCCCTCCCCCTCTCTCTCCCTCCCTCTCTCTCTCACTCCATCCCTTCCCCCCCCCCTCCCTTCCTCTCTCTCTCTCTCTCCCTCCCTCTCTCTCCTCCCCTCCTCTAACATAATGAATCACAGTTCTCCACCCGCCTCCCCCCCCCCCCTTTGGAAAGCCGAAGAGGTAAGGGAGCGCTTTCCTCCCGGAAGGGAAAACAGCCCTTGCGAAGGAAAGAGCCGGCTCCTTCCCTCCTTTCCCTGCCTGCTCCGGCTTCCCATTTTCGGCCTTTGCTCTGCCTCTTTCCTTCCCCCACCCCTAGTGTGAACGCCTGCCTTTCAGAAGAACGGGTTGTTATTTCTTGGCACTTGTGAATCACAAAGGAGTGGCCACCCGCTTGCACCCAGGAGCCTGGCAGGGAGGAAGGAGGAGGAAGGAGCCCCAGGCACCCCAAGGAGGAAGATCCTTGCCTAAATAAAACATCCAGCCCCCCCGCCCCCTGAAAGCCCCCCCCCCCTTTTGCTGAATCCTTTTAAACCACAGGGGTCTCCAACCTTGGCAACTTTAAGCTTTGCAGGCTGGGGAATTCTGGGAGTTGAAGTCTGCCAGGCTTCAAAGTTGCCATGGTTGGAGACCCCTAGTTTAAACCAACGAACTTAAGCCGGTTGAGCGGGACGGAGGCAAACCTCGAAGAAGGGGCCCTCCGGCAGAACAGACCCTCCCGCCTCCACAAAAGCGACCCCCGAGAAGGCTCCATCATGGCACATCAACACCTGCATCGGCTGAAAGGAGGAAAAAGGCCCCTCTGCCCCCAATTCTTCCAATTCCTATCCGGATCTCTCTGCCCCAAAATCACCCTCCCTCCCTCCCTCCCTCCTTCCGCTTGGGTTTCGCCAGGCAAGTGCCCCTAGTATCTGGGAGGACGTTAAACTGCTCTGGGGAGGGGGCAGTTGAAGATTTGGGGCACATCTCTTAAACCCCAGCCCGTAAGGAGACCCACAGGGGGGACATTCCTGGATGGTTGAGTCAAAATATCAGCTGTCCTGCACAGAGGCGCCCCCAGAGCAAGGGGGGAGCATTCAGACATTTTTACAGATACGGATAATCAGAGTTGGAAGGGGCCTTGTGGGTCATGTAGTCCAACCCCGCCCACCCAAGCGGGAGACCCTACACCATTTCTGACCAATGGCAGTTCAGTCTCTTCTGATGGCGCTCCCACAACTTCCAAGGGCAACTTCTCTTCCATGGGTTGACTGTTCTCACTGTCAGAAAGCTTCTCCTTATTTCCAGGTTGAATCTCTCCTTGTTCAGTTTCCATCCATTATTCCTTGTCTGGCCTACAGGCGCTTTAGGAAACAGCTTGACCCCTTTTCCTCCTCCCTGGGGCAGCCCCTCAAATATTGGAAGACCGCTATCATGGCAGGGCGGCTGCCACCTCCCACCCCCGACATTAGTAAGTTCAGCCAGGAGCATCAAAGCTTGTTGAGGCAGGATTAAATCTCCCTTCAGACCCACTTAAGACGTTCTGCTGAAGCTCGGATCCATCCAGTATAGTACAACGCAGTATGAAAGATGAAATTAAGCTCGCTCTCTCATACACACACACAGAGAGAGACAGAGACAGAGACAGAGACAGAGACAGAGAAAGCACAAGAGAAAACGTTAGGACCCCTCCTCCCTGGCCTGGTTGGTGGCTTGCAGCTCTTCCTGCCCCCCAGCAGAAAGGCCAAAGTTTTGCCAGATCCTCTCAAGTGGTCAGTTCCGCCCACCTCTGGGATCTGTTATGGCTTTTCCTTCTGACCGGCTCTTCCCACAGAAGATCCAGTTTGGCCGAGCTGATAAAGTTCTCCGCTCATCCTTCGGACCTATTAAGTCCGGGGATGTCCGCCTGCGCTCGCTATGGGCCTCATCAGGACGATGTTCCTTGCGCAGAAAAAGGGGCCTTTCCTATCTTTCCTGGTGCGCCTTGTCGTGAGGGGGATTTGGACCTCCTGCACTCACAGGTTCTGGGCGGGGCAGTGGGGGGGGGGGAATTGTCCACACAATGTCTACACAGCCCATCTCTCCGCAGCCCCTCCCTGGGCTCTGCCTCTTCCGCCATATCACCCTCGAAGTGTCCTTCGTTCATTTGTTCTATTATTCCCCGCAATGTCATTTTTTTATTGCCCGGATATTTGCAGGATTGCACCTTCTTGCAGGGACAAAGGACAAAGTTCGGACTTTGCCCTTTCGTACCACCCTCCACCACCACCCTACCCCAAAGGTCCGGATCCCAAATCTTGCTGCGGGCCCCGGGGTGGGGGGTGGGAGGTCGGGGGGGGCAGGAAGGGGGAGGGTGAGCCTGTGGCATGCGTACATATGTGTGTGCGTGTGAGAGAGAGAGAGAAAGCGCTGGGGGCTGGCATTGCCCACCCGCTCACCAGTCCAATGGGATGGAAACGGTGTGCCATATGTCAGTGCCAGGGCACTGGGGGGAAGAAAGAGAGAGAGGGGGGGGCGGGTTGAGAGCTTCCTTGGCATACCAAACCCCCAGTTTGGGACCCCGCCAGCCAGGGGAAGAAAGAACGGGAGCCGACCTTTTCAGAAGCATCGCGAGGAGTGGCAGCACCCTGGTCCTGGAGAAGAGCTGGCCTCGCTTCGTGGTCTTCGCCCAGGCTGGGCAGAACGTCTGACACCCGCTGGACAGCTCCTGGCTTTGACTCCCCAAGAGCAGGAAAGGCTCTGTAGGGTGTGGGGTGGGTGGGCAAAAGCTACTCCTCCTTGGCTCTCCTGCCTGCCAATAATTAACTCTGGTTCAGCAGCACCTTCAGGCTGGCATCCTGGTTTAAAAGGCTGGCATTCCCTCCGGTGGGAGGAGGAAGAGGAGGAGGAGGAGGTGGCTCAGGCAATTTTCCCCTCCTGGGTGAGCAGACAAGGTTGGCCAACGGGAAAGGATGGACTTTGTGATACCTGGGAGACTCACGGCTCTGGCTGAAGGGAGGAGGAAACGGCAAACTCCCTTGCAAGTTGCAAATCAAATAAACAGAACTGGCACACCAGAAGGGACTCGGTGTCTTCCCTTCCCTTTTAAGATGACAAAGGCACTTTATTTTAAGCAGGAACCTCTCCCAGCCTAACCTGAAAACGGCTGCAGGTGGGGGAATCGAGCCACAATCCAGCTATGCTTTCTTTCCCGGGGGGTTCCCTAACGTCTAAGGTCCTTGCTGTGTTTTTATGCTGAGGGGGCGATGAGCTTCCCTGGATGGGAGCAGTGTATCCCCCGACCTCTCTGCTCTAGGCACACCTGGGCAAGGCTAGTGAGAATGCAGCGTGGCAACAGAGACCAAATCGCCCTTCAAACTTCCTCCCAAAACAACCCAGACGCCTCCTTTCCAATGATGGGGTACGAGAAGAACGGTGTTGTTCCAGCTGTTAACCTGTCCTCCAGTTTACAGTGGCTTTCAATGCAGGTGGTCCGCTTTTTCCTCCCCAAAGGTGGGCTCCACTTACCTTTGGTTTCTGAGGCACCTTTCCCGGCTCTCGGAGAGACGGTGGCTGTGCCGGACGGCTGCATTGGGCAGCTGACCAAAATGGCAAAACCACAGGCAAAGAAAAAGGACCTTTGCTTCCTGCTAAAATAGCCGGCAGACGAAGGCAGCCACTTCCTCCCCGTGGAAACCGCAAGACCCACTTGGGACGGAAGAGGAACCTGTGGGAAGGTCTGCTTGGTATGTGGGCCGCATGTGTGCGTGGAAGAGAAAAAGGGCAAGAAAGAAAGAAAGAAAGAAAGGGGGGGAAAATGGAAAGGAAAGGAAGGGAGGGAGGGGAAGAGAAGGGAAGAAAGTTTCTCTCTACTTTTCCCTGTGACAAACCAATTTCCCCAGATCCTCGAGGTCTTTATTTGGCCCCAGTGGTCAAAGGGAGCAGGCAGACCTGACACTGCCAAACCTTCTGAGCGGAGAGCGAAGTTGGCGGGTTTTTGCGCCTGAGTTTTCAGGCTGCCCTTTAAGTCAGCCCTGCAAGGAGGGCCTTTGCAGGGCTCCTGGGCCCCTTTCCCAGAGAGGGAAGGGTCTTGGGGGGCCTCTGTGCCTCTGACACCTTCCTGCTCTTCTGGCCTTCCACAAAAATAAAAGGAGACGCAGGAGGGAGGGAAGAGCCGGGCCCGGGAACATCCCAGAGCTGCTCAGCAGGAAGCAGCCCTCCAAGAGAAGTGGCTGAAAAAGAGTATTATAAGATTTGGAATTTATTTTATGAATGATTAGACGGAAGAATAAGGAACTGGAATATGTGGCAATAGCAATAACATACCGATTGATTTTGAATGTATAAGAGAGGGAATATAACTTAGTAAGGATGGGATGTGTGTGTGTGTGTGTGTGTGTGTGTTAAGTTTTCGCGGGTACTTACATGTATGGTATTCAGCTTTGTTTGGGTATTTTCCCACGACAAGAACCTCTCAAAATACTTGGTCTGTGTTTATTGGTCTTGGAGTTTGCTGTGTTCTGCTTGACTGGTGTTTTCTAATACCCTCTGTATGTTTTGTGGCTCTTTTTGTGTCTTGGTTGGCTGGCAACATTGTGTTTCCTGTGTTGGAGGCTTTTAGTGCGGCTTGGCTCCGAGTAAATGGACGGCTATCCTTTGTTAGGAAGCTAGGTTTCATCTGGGTGCCTGGTTGGGGTGTGTTTGAGCTGGAGGTATCGGCGGTGGGGGATCTGTTTGTGCCAAGGTGTTTGCCTGGCTTGTGGTGTGGAGATTTTTTTTTGTTTGTGAGTGCAGGCTTCCAAATGATTGACAGCCTGGTGACATCATCTCTTCTATTCATGCTTTCAGGTCTTTTTTCAATCTCTATGGCTTCTCTGATAATTCTGTAGCTGAGGTTTTCTATAGTGGGGTTTTCTAAACCTAGCATAATAAGAAACATGCTGGGGTGGGGGGCTAACCCAGGGCTTCCCCTCTCCTCTCTTGGTTCCCGGCCGTCCCTCTCCAGAGCGTAGCCCTGTCCAGCTCTCTGAGCCCTTCACTTCCCATCCTGCTACCTGAGCACCAAGGTGAACCAGCCCCACTACCACCACCCCACTTAACAGAAAACCATTGTCTCTGCTCCCGGCATTCTTGCCCGCCACCTTCTGAGTGTCTCCAAAGCCCTAAACAATTGCCCGAGGGCAAAAACCTGGCGTGAAACTGAGACGCGGGCACGTTCAGACCTTTTGCCAACACCGGTTTTGTTTTCGTAGCTCATATTTGGACAGGCAGCCAAAACTTCGAAAGGTCAGGGGGTGGCAGTTCTTGTTGGGCGTCATCGCGAGATGGCGGGAAGGCTTGCTGGCACTTGTTCTCAGGGAACCAAAACTTCTGTCGTTGGCCAATGTGCTCCACCAGCCATAGTTGGGCGCAACGCCCAACGCAGTTGTTTACAGATCGGGCGTGAATACGTTCTCGCCTCTTCCTTGGCTTCTGGGGGCCTCGGCCCGCCCTCCGCCCCTTCTGAGGCCGGAGCCTCAGCGTCCTTCCCTTTTGCTAGCCGACGGGCAAGGACTGTCTCCTTCCTTGCTACGGCCACAAACGAGAGGGAGGGGGGTCTCCTCGTCCGGAGACAGACTGGGCTGTCCACATGTAGGTCATCCTTGGCAGGGAATTAAGGGCTCTGCTGTTGTTCCTGGCACCACCAACCCAGCCCCCCCCCCCTCCTGCCTCAAGGATCCAAGTGGATCATTCGGAGAGGTTCTCGTTGCGAAAGAAAACCCCAGATGGTCGATCTCTCTGCTTGCTTCGACTGCTGCATTTCAGGGACGGCGTTGTTTAAACGAAAGCCAGAAACCCCAGTGGGGCTTTTTGGGGGTGGGTGGGTGGGGGAGAGGAGAGGGAGTCCAATTCCGCTTCGGCTGCACCCCCTAGTGGTCAGTGGAAAAGCAGACTTCTCCCAACTTGGCTTTCTTGATTGTTTGTTGTGGTGACTAAGCCCCTTCCTTGTTTGAAGGTCGATGTTTCCACAAGGTTGCACTCGGGGAAATGCAAGAAGGAGGAGAAGGAGAAGACGGGGACCCTTGGATTTGTGGATTTGTCCGGCGTGTCTGAACGGAAACCAAGTCTTCCCGTCTTTGACCAGATGCTTGTCAGTGCCAGCAGAGGGCGCTCAGACCCCTTTCATGGATGGAAGCAAGCCATCCAAAACTCACCTTGGAGAGAGAGAGACAGAGACAGAGACAGAGACAGAGAGAAAGAGAGAGAGGGAGGGAGGTAGTCTATCTTGGGAAGCCTGGGGCCGACACACCACTTCCACAGGGACGGAGCTGGGACTTCCAAGGTGGAAAATGTCGCTCCTGCTTTCCAGGGGTGAAAAGTTGTGCCGTCATCTGAATGTCACCGCAAAAGGATTCGGGTCAGCAGCAGGGGGGCCCTGCAGAGAGGCCAGGCTGGGGTGTCTTTGGCTGCCCTCCACCAAGCCCCCTTTCCTGCCACCACCACCCCCTGCTGCTGCCTCCCTTCCCTGGTTCTGGCCGGTGGGCCTGCCCTGCACGCTCCTTCTCGGGGTGCGTGCCGCTGAACGTGACTCTGTGAGGCTCCCCCCACCAACCCAGAACTGGCTTTTCCTGCATCCTGAGACAGGCCGGCCGAGGGACAAAGCCCGGATTGTGCCAGATGATGGGCAGGCAGCGGAGGGAGGCGGGCCATCGGGGGTTTGGCCAAATGCCAGCATGGGAAACCACTTCCTCCTCCCTCCTCTCTCTCTCCTCCTCCCTCCTCCTCCCTTTCCCTCCTCCCTCCTGCCCCCTCCTCCTCCTCCTCCTCCTAAGCCACCTCTTCATCTGCCCCACTGCTCCTTTATCTCACTTGCTGACGGAGGTGGGCAGAGCTGCCAAACGTTAGGCGCTGCCTTTCCCGTAACCCTCTTGGCGAGCCAAATTCTTCCCACACTGCATTGCTAAGCAACCTGTACACGGGGGGGGGGGGGGCTTTGCCTCCTGCGAGTGGATGGCCTTGGGGGATGGAGGGGGCCTATATGCCCCTCCCCTTTCCCCTTCAGAACCTTCCACAGCTCGTGGGGGGGGGGAGGATGTGAGGAAGAAGGGGACACCGGCACCCCTGCCCTGCCCTGGGCCACCCTCCCCCAATCGCAGCCACAGCCCCCAGAGAGAGGAGGAGGAGGAGGAGGAGGAAGAAGAGGAGGTAGAAAAAGAGGGGCCTGTTTCTTTAGGGGGGAACTCTCACGCCTTGACAGAGAAGGGGGCTTCTGGGGGAGACATTCGTGGGGCCAACCGGGATCATCGGGGACATCGAAGGGGGGTAGATGGCAGCTGTGGGTGGGGGGCTGTGCCAACTGGGCAGAGGGCTGAACCTCCAGGGAGGCCTGGGTTTGTTGCTGGGCCAGCTGGGAGGGTTTTTGCCCCAGGCCAGTGGCCGAGGGCCTTCCCTGCCCTTCCCGAGGCTCAAGACCATCCCTGCAGCCTCCGAGAGTTCATTTCCTTTCCTGCTTCTAACGGCTTCCTCTGCCCCCAGCAGGCCATCGCTGCCGCCGGAGCCAAAGACACGGCTATTTGATCTCATTTGGGCCGCCTGGATGACCTCCACTCTCTTTTCTCCGCTCCTGTATGGGGGGAGGCAGGAGCTTCCTCGTCTCACCAGGCGTCCGGAGCCGTTAGAAAGCTGGGCACCAGCGCCCGCCCACCGAGGTAGACTGCTCTGAACCGGGAAGTACCGTGCCAGCTCCGGGAACGCCAGAAGGGCTCGCTGTCTTTCAAAGGAGGAGAACGCCCAGACCTGCATCCCTCGGAAGATGAGCTTGCAGCTTCTCAGCCTTGTTAGGAAAGGGTTGGTCACCTAGACCAGGGCTTAGCTGGTTGGGTTTAGCTGGGTTTAGCCAGCTTTGCTGGCTGAGGAAC